ATAAGTGGCAGCCAACATCACAATGTGTTGTTGAGAGAAGTCATAGGACTGCTTTAAATAGCATTTCACTTCATAAAGGGAAGGCTTTGTGGTTGTGGGCCCCTTGGCTTTTGAGTTCTATGAGGAGGAGTTGTTATGTGAGCGAGAGTCAAAACAAACTGAACTTTGAAACCACAGGTCACTGACCTTTCAGTACACTGCCTGTGGCTTTTACAGTGGGCGGTCGCCATCTTTACATTCTTGTCATATAATTCCCAAAACGTGTTCAACAGCTCTGTGTGGAATTTCTGACACCACGCAGGGACCTCTCGTGAATAGTAAATGTGGATCCAGAGGTCAACGTGTTCAGCCACCACAGGGTGATAGAAGATCTGGGTGGATAAAAGCTTGATCATCTGAGTTGACTTCAGTTATTACCATGTGCCCAAAGCAATAATCAGCCAGCAATCAAGACCGTACTGCTAGGCAGCGGTGGAAGAATATATTACTCGACTAAAAGTAGCAGTAGAACGGTGTAGAAATACTTTATTACAAGTAAAATGGCCCATTTCAGAAAACGTTATATTATCCTTGATAGATTAATGCGCTTATCACTTTGATGTTGCAAGGTGGAGCTAATTTGAATTACTTATAAACGTAGTGGAGTAAAAAGTACATTTTTCCCCGCTGAAATCAAGCAGAAGTAAAAAGTAGAATTAAAATGGAAATTCTCGAGTAAAGTACAAGTACCTCAAAATTATACTTATTGGTGCAGTGTTTGAGTCAAACTTAGTTACTTTCCACCACTGCTGCTGGGCTAGCTGTTTCCCCCTGCTTCCAGTGTTTATGCTAAGCTAAGCTAATTTAAGCTAATCACCTGCTGGCTGCAGCTTCATACTTTGTATGAACGATGTAATTGTTTTTGCATACAAGAAAACAGAGAAAAGACTTGATTTCTATATATTTATTATCTCAAGGGTAAATATTGGGTAAAATTATATATATGTATATTATATATATATATATATATATATATATATATATATATATATATATATGTATATATGTATGAATTAGGAATCGATAATGAGAATATATGTTATTACTGTAGTTTTATGGCCACAGCAGAAAGTATAAAGCATAGGAGCATTTCTACAGCTTGATTCAGCATGAAACTCTCCCAGTTGAATAATCGGTGCAAAAGATCTGGTTATTTAGTTCTCAGACATTGCCACCCCTAAATAATTTCCACAGTTTCTTGGTTTGTAATAGTTATACAACACAACCTCCAGTGAGCATATCCCTAAGATTTTAGTATCTTTCTTCTCTGTTGTGGGGAATTATTGGGTGTTTCAGTGGGAGACTGCTTCTCATTTTAAGCAGCCAAGATGACCAGCATTGACACTCGGTAGGCTTTATAACTCAGGTTTGTTTACACACTCTGGGATTTATTGTTGGTGTTTTCCCCTCCTCCCTCTAAGAGCACTCCTTCATCCTTTCATCTCCCTTTCACCCAGGAGAGTCCGTCTGTCTGTCTGAATTGTATTTCCTAGTCGTAAATGTTAATGTGTAACGAGGTGAGCTGGGATCGATGAGGATATTAAACCGACTCTCCTCGCTTTGTCTTATCAGCCTGATGAGGCAGAGCACACTATGGCTCTATTTCATTCGCACACCCACAAACACACAAATGCGCATATACATTAAAAAAAACACAAAGTAATTTCTTCCACTTTCCCCCCCCCCCCACCCTACACACTGACTTAAAAGCCCACACACGTTCATGCAGTATCTGTTTGTCTCTGTCGGCATCTCTACCGCGCTAAATAATCGAATCACTTAACGGCAACAGCCAACCATGCTATTCCAGTCTCGACCATGAAGGATAAATTATTGCTCCGTATAGAGAACAGCCATTACTGTAAGGTCTCATGAAGACATATTATGGAGCCATGCTTTGTTGAGACCCTGTCATTGTCAAAGTACTAAATATGCCAGAGGTGGAGTGAAGTATTATATGTCCTCTGAAGTGGATATAGTATAATGCTGGTATGGGTTTTTAAAGGCCAAGGCTATTATTGTTGGATGTGCAGTGACTGAAAAAAAGTGTCCAAATCAAGTGTGTGCGTCTGTATTATGAAGTGTATAGGGCTCTGGTAACTCTTACCCTTTAAAGGACCTAACCAAGTTCTGTAACCGTGGAAAACAAATGTATTTGGTCATTTGTGTGAGTGAGTGTGTGTGCGCATGTCTGTGTCTGTCTGTCCACAGCTAATCTCGCATTCTACTGGACCCGTCACATTAATATTTTTTGTGCTCATTTATGACTGTGTGCCTCTCGTGGTTTTGTGAAAACATACTTTATTATTTAACTATTTAATACCATTGACTGCCGACTCCTCACTACTCTTAACCTGCAGGTAGGGGCCACAAGTGATCAACAACTGCTTCAGTAAGTGCAGTATTTATGTATTTATGTAGGAATGTATGTTTGCAAAACTGAACCGAGCGCTGACTACAATGGAGCGCGTCTTCTCATGTCAGTAAGAGGAGAGCTATCTAGCTGTTAGCAGCCAGTGAGTTTGGCTAAACACCCGCCCAGACAATAGTTACATCCTTAGGAGCCACTGTTACATTTAGTTTTATGCATTATTATGTATTATGGGTTTTAATGGCTGTACGATTTCTTTCCTCATTTTTATAATGACTATGTATTTATAGGTTTTCTTCTTTGAATTGCTTTGTCTACATATTGCTTTAAGTTGACTGCAGCTGTGTATAGCACATTGCCCAATCTTTTCTTATCAGAAACAGATTGCATGTGCCACGTGTAAATGGGGTTTAACTGTCCAAGTTAGCCATAGCAGCGTGAAAGTGATCAAGCACGCACAATACCAGGACCATGAAACTAAAACAGCGAAATAGAAATCAGCCAACATTCATTTGATTATTTACGCCCGCCTGTGTTACATGTCAACACGTCCGCTGTGAAAAACACCTGATCACTGAAGACCTGCTATGAAGTATAATTTAGAGGTACTTCACTCGAGTATTTCCCTTATTTTATATTCTAACCTGTAAAATCACAATAAATTGTTTTTGCATTTTATGCTAATCTCCTGTTTACTCCAGCTTCATATTTGCCATACAGAGTGGTATCGGTCTTCTCATCTAATTCTCGGCAAGAAAGCAAATAAGCTTATTTCCCAAAATGCTGAACTGAAATGTTAACCTTGTTACACAGTCCACAAAATAGAGAAATACTTTTAAAATTAGATCTCTTCTATTTCACTGAATTGAGCTCACAATAATGTGGTTTACTTGTGGATTGTTGCAGAGGAACCAATTTGCCCTTTATCATCAAGTGTGTGTGCAAATACAGGAGTGCTAATAGTATGCTAATTTTGTGATTTTATGCACAGTAGCCAAAGAGTAATTATTTTAGGATTTTAAAATCCAGTCCCAGTCCTAGATCATAGTATTAAAACTCATATCTTTCACGAGATACTGTATCAAAGTAAAATCTCATTAGTAGTGGAGGTGGTGTGTTGCTGCTGCAGAGTGATCAGAGAAGAAGGAAACACTGGGGCTGGGTGCTGCATATAGATGGTGTGTTGTGGTTTCCCAGAAAGTCATTACCCAGACAGTGGATTGCTTCGCCCTGAGGTGTTTCACTTCACAATTTGCCACAGCTTTTTTTTCCACACCGCTGTTTTTCTCTTCATTCAGTCAGTAGTGATAGGACACAAAAGCAGTAAAATAACGTAACTGCTGGGGTCGCTGCATTTCCTCTAAGACAAAACAGATACAATGCAAAAAAGTGTGCAAATAAAAACCACTATCAAAATCAAAGGGGGCCCTCTTGTACCACAAGCCTCCCCGGGGCATGTGAAAGCATAGAGAAACAAACACTGATGCCACCCCACCCTGTAAAAACCTCCACTCTGCTGTTACAGCCACACTAAAGCGCACACTACACACCACCCTACAGCCTTCTGTTTGTCTCGGCTGGACCTTATGTGTGTGTGTGTGTGTGTGTGTGTGTGTGTGTGTTCAGTTAATGTATACGTGCACTCCTGAGTAGATATCTATTTTTCATTGTGTTATGTCTGCAGAATATGGATCTGTATGTGTTAAGCATCAGTCTAGCGAAGCCTCCCTCTCAGTCTCAGCCAGTCTTTCCTTATATGATGTGGTTTACACTGAAAAGATGCTGTCACCTCCAACCGATGGCTACCGCTTTTTTCCCCCCCACTCGGATGTCTTTAGTTTACTTCTATAGTCGCCTGACTTTAGTTAAATATACGTTTTCAAAAAGATACAGAATACAATATTGTAATATTGTTCAATTATTGAATTCCTATTTTAAAAACAATTTTGTGTTTTTAGTGATAACTGATGGACAAGCAAACAATAATACGTTTCACTTTATTGTAACAAGGCTTAAATTATTTACAATTCCAATGATTGTTTGGTCATAGCTTAAATAAACAAAAGCCTTAAGCTGTTACACTTGTAAATATGAGTGCAGACCGTTGACGTTGAAATTATCGTGTTTACGGATTGATCACGAGACATTGCTAAAACCAGTCATGACCACGCCCACTTATGAAGTAGGAGGTGTATACCATGTGAAGCCTTTCAAACCATTGGTGGAGCTTGTAATGCAAAAAATAAAAAGTATTTCTGTAGACTGCTTTTACTATTTATTTAGGCAATTATGTCGATCAAAACATGCACAACTACATTACATAATTGTGGTGTAACACTTAAAAAAATGAAATAGAAATGTAGACCAATCTCTACCTTTCCTTTAGTGTATTAATAACAGCTCAAACTAGCATGCCTATGCTCCAATCCAAAAATAGATATGTATCATTAATTATAATATTAAGCTTCAAATAATTACATTGGTCTAAAATAAATTCAAACTCAAAACTTGAGTTACCGCCAACCTCAGCCCGACTACATCATCCTTACTGCGACACCCATTTTGATGTTTATGTGACTGGAGTGTGCTTCCTGCAGCGAGCAGCTCAGGCCTACCTCATTTTCGCCTGGCAGGTCAGCCGCTCTGTGTTTCAGACTGAAGCCGTTGGCTGCTACTGAACCGTTTGGCTCTTTTCTCTACTAGCGAGCAAAGCTACAATCTAGACCCAACTGTCCATCCAGCTCATTTTAAGGGGATTTATCAGTATATATGCCCGTGTATCCAAAACACATCGGTCATTGGGGATTCCTAGCACCGGTTGGCCGGGTCTGAAGGCCGTTATAACGCTTTTTTCGAGGTTTAATTAGAGCTAGAAAACAACGGTGGTGGAGGAGGAGGAGATTCCATATTAGGAGCACAGAGGAGAAGGCACCCCCCTTTGAGTGATTTGGAGCTTTAGGTGAGTGTTTATCCTCATTTTACGTTATTATTGCCCGTATAAATTGTACCCACGTGTAGTGTAACCACGTATGACTGTAAATACAAGGTTTGGGCGGTTTATTGCAATGTTTTGAACGTTTATTTTTATTTTTTCGCTCGGGGTGGGGGATGGGCAGCGTCAGCGCGTGAGTAGGCGCGCGTGCACTGTGCATGTGTTCGTAGGGCTGTTCTCGTGGTAGGTTTGTTTGTGAGCGCGCGCTTCCTTCCTGCAGCTACTGCTAGCTTTGAATTAAAACCACTTTAGTGATTTTTTTTTTTTAAATTTCAACCATGAAGACATAATTCATAACATATATTGATGATATTAGTATCACCTCTGTAAATGTATTTGTTTTACTCAGATCTAACTTTTTTACTAACTATTTATTTTAAACATTTTTGTTCTTTTAGATAGTTTTTCAATGATGGATTCATGCTTTTACTTCTTATTTTAATAAAACTGTGTTGGAATGCACTTTGGTACTTAGACAATACTTAAGTGTTACTTAAGTTAGTGTTGTTAAAGAACCAACAACCGTTATGAATCAAAACTGAAACTGTACTTCTAGCAACGTTAGCATGTTGTCCCACAGCTGTACTCACCAGTCTGAGGTGTTTTGCTCTGCAGGCCCGTAGTTAACTCCACGGTTTAGATCATGTTGCTTGTCTGCAGCATACAGTGGATTCTTATGTGCATTGTTTATTGTAGTGTTTTATTACCTTTGTGTCAATGTTACTCAAAGCTTTCTACAGTGCTTTGCAGCTGGTTGTTCCAAGCTGTGGGTGGTGTGGGGGAGGGGTGAACACACACACACACACACACACGCACACACCCCCACACACCCAGGAGGGCCACTTGCCAACCTTGTGAAGCTCAACTCAATGACACAATGTACCAGTCCCAGATAAGCCTTCAGTATCTGTGCTAGGCTGCTAATACGGACTTTGTTCAGCCGGAGTCAGGATTCACAAACTAAACTTAACTGGGCTAAGATATTAAGTGTAACTTGAAATTAAGTTTTACAATTTTAGTTTTTTGACCACACAACTTCTTTTATTTTCGATTTGAATATTTTCTTTTCCCCTGCTACAAGTTATTGCCCGTGTGGTTTTATTTTGAGTGAATATTGTGGTTACTACTTAAAGTAGGTTATGTAAATAATGTATGAGAAGGTGTCCTGATATGATCAGGGTGCTGAATCCACTATTTGATATATTGGAACATCCTTTGAGTGCATTATCACACATACACCACGGCCACTTATCTAAGGTAAAAAGAGGCAATGTGTATGTATTTTTTTTAATGGCCATTTGTAGTAGATTTTGAATAATACTGGATTTTTTTAACCTCTTACCAATGTCAATATTTGATATTTGTATCATTGTTTTTTTTTATATATGTAAATGCAAAACATAACAACGGACACCATCTGTGGACAATGGTTGCCTCTAACTATTGCGGTTTGTCAGGTATTATCACGTGTTCAGCTGGTTGAACTTGTTGAATACATCTCATATATTTGCATTTCTCTCTCGCCATTTGACAACAGTATAACGGAATTAGTTGTTTTTTTTGGATTAGGATCACTGACTTCTCTCTGGTTATTTTCTCTGACACGAGTGCACAACACATGTGCACGTTAGCCGGCTGTGAGTCTTTGTCCTGTGTGCAGTGCAGTTGATAACAGCAGCAACACATCCTTCGGTTTGGTCTTTGTGCATTGAGGTTGAACTAGTGTGTCAAACAAGGACAGAGCTGCTAGACACACACACACAAACAAGTATTTTTTTTGTGGTCAGTGACGAACGTCATCTGTAGCCGTTTAATGCAAACAAAGTAATCGTTACCACATCTTGATGAGTTGGATGTTCAAATTGTCTTAGGGCGGCTGCAGGGCCCATTTAGCTAAGACCACATTCAAGTAGCAGATGTAGTTTTTTTAATGTCTCCACCAAAAATCCTTCTTTTTGGTGGTTTCTTTATTTTTTTTAGATGCTCCCAGGCTGAGAGGAAACCCCCCCCCCCGCCCCCGCCCCCCCCCCAGAGCCCCCCTCCACC